ACAACAAATACCAGCATGATTAAGATTTATTTAATATCAGGACTGGGTTGGCACTCCAAACTGCAAGGTTAGAAGTTGAAGAAGGATCTTAGTAGAGATTACTGTTTTTCTGAGCAGTCTGCCAGCTGAATCATGGTCTAATTAAATAGCACAGATTTAGTGAGTTTGCATTTAAGCATTAGCAGACCCTAGAATGAGTAAAGCTGAAATGAGTTTGAATCTTTCCTGTACACGGGAAGTTAAATTATCATAGTAATTTGATTAAATGATTTTTAAAAATTCAAGCTAAACCACAGTCTTTAAAGAATAGTTTGAAGTCTTAATCACTGTTTGTGAGCATCTCTCTCTGCTATTTGTTCTCACCTCATTTACTTGACATACTGCAATATATCTCCAAAGGGCACAGGTTCCCAAACTGATGTCCATGAATCAAGCCTGCCTATAGAGTACATGCATGTGGCATGTGGAGAGCTGGCTGATCATTTTGTTTCCAGCTCTGAACAGAATTAAAAACAGCAAAAATACTTTAAACACTTAACTGCTATTACTCTTTCATTGTAAGCAAATTCTGTCATTACCACAGGGATGTTAGATGTTCCCTGATGGAAGGGGAAGGCAGCCATAAGAGAATACTTTTCTTTTGAGAATCCAGGATTCAAGAGCTATGCCACATCAGAGATTCTTCTTTACTTTTCACCTCTGTATGTATAGGTGTTAGTCAAAGTTAAATGGCTGAATTCTCATCTGAACTTTTACATGTCAATAGAGTTGATTTTAGTGAAAAACAGCACAACACACTGAGCACTCTACACAAGATGTTTACTGTGGAGCTGCCCTATTAGCTCTGCAGTAAAGTCTCCACATTGACACATGTGGCCCTATTAGGTCACAGTAAACTAATAAACAGCACCATAGGTTAGTACTTGTAAATAGAAGTAGTATCCTGTGGTGGCATTATTTACCATGGAGCAGTGCACATGTAGGCACTGATGGAGCTGGCTGGGTCAGGAGGGTGCTTCAGTGCAAGGACTGCCTGCTGGCTAGCCCCACACTGAAGCATCCTCATGCCCTAGCCAACCCCTCTACAGGATGCTGAGCCAGGTCAGAGCAGCCCTGGGCTGGCAGGCTGACTCCCTGGGCCCCTTGCCAGCCAGGGCTGTTCTGACGTGGCTCAGTGTGCTGCGCTCTGGAGTGCATGTGTGGACACGGTGCCCGGGAGCAACACGCTCCACTGCAATATGCACTGGAGTTTATTGTTTAGCATTAATTGTACATGTAGATGCACCCACTGAGATTTTGATCTTTGAACTTTCAAATTTCTTAGCAACTGCCTGGAACAAAGATCTGCTCACTTTATCTAGACAATTTTGTAGAGGGTGCAAACTGACAAACCTTCATGGTCAGAATATGTTGCTCCCTTTCTGCAGCTGAAAATTTCTAAAGGAAGACATTTCTCTTGCATACAGCAGCTCTGATCTGTCACAAGAACCATTATCCACAGCTCATACATCATCCTCCAAATATGGCCACAGAATGCAGTGGAAGTGTTTGGAAAGAAATGACTCCAACTGGAGTCCAGTGGGTGGGCAGGAGCAGTGAGTGTGTATATGGATGCTGAATTTGGTAGATTTACTCAATGATTACATTTTGATTAACATCAAAATATGCATACCCATAAGGGATTTTATTAACCCCTAATTTGTAGTGTACACACAAAAAAAAATCAGGGATTCACCTTTGATTGTCAAAGGTAAACATCATTAGTTCTACAAAATGCAAAAGCTGATCTCTTTATTAAAAAAATAATAAAATTTTGTAGAAGTGGAGGATGGGAGCGCTTTGGCCAGTGCCAACATTCCCTTGAATTTCCGTCCCCCCACCCCTAGTTTTGTTACCCCACATTTTTTGTTTTTGTTTTTCCCAGTTTAATGTTTCTAGACCTGATCACCTGGATGCACAGTAACTGATGCTTGCAGTTTCTGCAGTACATATCTGACTGCATGCTTCTTAGGACATCTATTCACTAAGATCCAGAATTATTAAACATGCAAAATCCCCATAGGACTCCATTATGTGTAATTAACAGATAAACTGTCATCAGAATCAATAAAACGTGCTAAATGATCCAAACTTGTATATAATTAAGTGTCTATTTTAGAGCAGAAGCTGTAACTTTTTTTTCCCATTTGCACATTGCTTTTGAGAATAAACATGGGCCATGCTTTTTAACCTATTATTTACCAGTTCGGCTTGTGTTTTTTAAACAATGCCTTTTAAGTCAAAAGGGTATTTAAAACCTACCCAGATTGACTGATAAAACCTACCCAGATTGACTGTTACAAAATTGCTAGTCACATTACAGCCATCCGAACTGTTTGTTTGAGTAGGGATTGTGAAACCTAGGTCCCAAAACCAAATTTGCTGTAGTTCTATCTTTCTTAAGGTACAGCAGATATAAGGTTCTGTGTAAAATAGCCTTCAGGTGCATAAATCTGCTTAAGAAAGCAAAACAATAACAAAAGAAGATTTACTTAATCTTTTCTCCATCTGAAAATGGAATCTTTGCTAAATAGTCAAAAACTGAAGTCAGAGCAGCAAGAATTTTGGAGTGGGATTAGAAGTAGGTGGATTTACTGCAGGCCAGCTCTAGTCCTGGTTACAGCCTCATCACTGCTGTAAGCACACACAAATTCATAGTTCCCTTGGGGCTATATGCCCTTACAGAAGGGTTACACATGGCCCATCCTCTGATTGGCTGCCGTGGTCCAAATCAGCTAACCTCCATGGTAAATACTCTATATGGCTGTTTGGCTTTATCAAGTTCTTTAAGTCTGTATTCCTCTCTGTTTTGATAGCTAGGGGAGCATTTGGTTTGTGGTGCCACATTTTGCTTATAGCTGCCTTTCCTTCCTTGTTACTTGCTGCTCTTGTGACCACTGTCAGGGAGATCCACTTGGTCTCCCCTGAGGGCAAACCAGAGCTTAAATAGTGAGGCCTATGATAGCATTACTCATTACAAGCCCTGGCAATGTTACTCATTCTATTTCATAGAGTTAGGGGATGTCCAGGACCCACCTCTGTCTGGTTGTGGTAGAGTTGATACCTTCTCCAGACTAAAAAGCATTCCTTCCCCCATCCCCCAGCAAAGCGTGACTGTGTTCTGTTTGCTAGTGATCCAAACTACGCTGTTTACAGAAAACTACGTAATGTAATGGCTGTTAGGGCCCCTTATGACAAGGAAATACTAATAAATTTGCATGCCTGTTAGGAGATAAAAAGGATGGCCTTAAGAGCCTACACAGGCTGAAGGGAAAGGAAGAAGATGGGAGCTGCACAAATAAAAGGCTAAATAAAGCAAATGTGCTTTATAAAAAAAAAAATGTCAGAAACTATGCCCATGCATTTAGGAGAAAGACATGTTGGGATTCTAGGGCAGAATAAGCAACTAGAAGTGATGTCCCCAATAACTATTGCTGCCCTTAGATTAATACATTATGTCCAGGTACAGATATTACACTTTTACCAGTATAAGTGATCAGAAACCAATCTATATCCATAACAGAACACAAGTTCAGTGCACACAACCAGGCTATACCCATAACAGAATGTAAGTTCAGCATACGCAGATACACAGACTGGTTTAAAAATGGTGGAACATGGTCTAAGTTTTGCATACCCCCTCCCCCCTCCCCAGCAAAGGGCGAATGTCTGTTCTGTTTGCTACTGATCTAAACTATGCTGTTTGCAGAAAACTATGTAACAGGTCAATTCTGCATCAGACTTTTTGAATGTCTGTACCTAGCCATTGTTCTCCAACCTTTTCAAAGTGTGGACTACATCTCTTATGGATGAACTCTTTGCCAGGCTCTCATCACTCTCTCTTCTGTTGCTTAGATAGTGGCTAGTTAAAGGGAAAATCGTAGGGCTGTAGGATTAACCCATTTTGTTCAATAGGGTCATAGATTTGATCTTTCTATTTTGTAACTGTTTTGATTAAAGCTTTATATATATTTGGACCAAGCCTCCCATTATCACCTGCAGCTTCTAGTGCTTGAACCTTTTCCAGAGGGCAAGGATTTCTGTGGGTGATATCTTTTACTGGGTCAAGTGTATGGTTGGGAAAAAGAGAAGCTTTCAAGGCATTCTTCTGTTTGGTTCCTCCTGTGCATTTTTCTAGGGCTCCTACTCATTTCTGAGCTCACAAGAGTTTTTTTTCCATAGAAACACTTCACAAACAAATATACAGAACAAAGCAAGATGTAGAGAGGTGTTGGGTTTATTTAATTTTGATTAGGTTGGCAAAAAAGAACCTCAGACTATCCTTGGTAGGCTACATCTAGCAAGAACTATCCATTCAGCATTGCAGAAGTGTTTCTATGGACCCCTTTGATGTTCTTTGCAAACTGTAGCTGAGAGCTGTGTATGGAAGGTTGGTTGGGAAACAAATATCTTTAATTGCCCTGTGAGGGTAGAAAGAGACTCATGCCTATTCATCCCCTGTTTCAGCCCAAAGTCCATCTGGTCAATGGCTTCTCACTTTGTAAACTCTGGATGCTGCCTTGGGTTGGTACCAGGTGCGCCAGAGAGGTAGGAGTTGTTCTTGCAGCAGCAGCTGCAATGGATTGTGACTCAGATGGCCTTTGCCCCCTCAGCACTATTAGTTCTGCATAGCTAGGAAGGCACTGTAAGAAAGTATTTAGTTGCATGGAGGATGGATTTGTTTTGGTCAGTTTGTACATGAATTTAACACTTTTACAAGATGCCATGACATGTTTGCTACTACAAGGAAGATCCTGAAAGCCAGTATAGAAATAAATGGATAATACTTTTTTGCTCATAAAACAATATGAAAAACACTATGTAAACCCATAAGGCAAATTCTATGAACAAATATGGTGCCATTACGTATTACAGTGCGAGATACCACCTGAAACAGCTAGTCTTATGCTGGCTGTCCGGCACTCCATGCTGAAAACTGATGTTATTCCTTTGTTTTGCAGACTCAATGCACATAGAGGATGTTGAAGCAGTTCAGAAACTTCAAGATGTCTTACATGAGGCTCTGCAGGATTACGAGGCTGGTCAACATATGGAAGACCCACGTCGAGCTGGCAAAATGCTGATGACTCTCCCGCTTCTGAGGCAAACTTCCACTAAGGCGGTGCAGCATTTCTACAACATCAAACTGGAAGGCAAAGTTCCCATGCACAAACTTTTTTTGGAAATGCTGGAGGCCAAGGTTTGACTAAAGCATCATGGGCCTTCCCATCATGCACGCTGAAAAAAAAAGGGAAAATAAACAGGATAATAATGGCAAAGAAACTTAGTGTTTAATTAAGAAAAAAAAATGACTGCACTGAAATTAGCAGCAAGACTGTGAAGCAGCTTTCAGCTCTTTCTTCTGTGTCTATCTGATGCAGTTTTTCTTTTTCTTTTCTCTCTTTCCC